GCTCCACACTCTCGATTGTTCGAGCGCTGACTCACCAGCGATGACTCACCGGCGATGACTCACTGGCGATGAGTCATCACTCCGATATCCAGAGCGGTACTCGCTACAGTACTATATCCCAGATAGCACAAGATAGCCCACGGACATCCTATTTAGGTTATTCTCGGCTTAGCCAGGCCGAACGAGTCTGGGACATGATAGGACGTCAAGTCTAGACCCAGTCCGGCTTAAGGCCAATTCTCACATAGCGACGCTACGCTACGCGACGCGACACTTTAAAATGTAGCTGATCAACGCGACTCGACAATATTTTGTCGCTTCCTGGAGCGACAAAACTGCGTTGGTCAGCTACATTTTAAAGAGTAGCGTCGCGTAGCATAGCGTCGCGTCGCTATGTAAGAATTGGGCATTAGCCTGGATAGGCGTATTTTGGACGTCCAAAATACGCCTAATAAAGCTAAGCCGGACCGGATACACCGAACAAACAATTTGTTTAAGAGAAACAAAATTGATTTTAGGTAAACTAATCCTGTGGTTCTGTATTGCGCAACTAATTTAGACTTAAGGCAAGTAATTACTTAGTTTGGTAAAGTTGGTTTCGAACAAACTGATATTAATTTGACGTATGTAAATGCATACATTTCTTTACAAAGAGCAGATTATGTTCTTGCAACTAAATATTTATTTCTTACTAATTTTTCCTTTCTTTGTATTAAATAATTTGGGATAAACACATGTGCTTTATTGCAACACATCAATAATTTCGTCACAAAAAAACAACTGGTCATCACAACAGAATTAATTTGCTTAAAACGAAGATTTCATTGTCAGGAATAAGCCCTTTATTTGCAATAAAATTATTTAAATGTAGGAGAGGCTGGTTTTTGAAAATCTAAATAAATTCAATAAAACATTTTATTTTAAAATATTAAAACAAATGTATGTATACATATAAAAATATTTTTAACCAAAAAAATTAAACAAGAATACAAAACAAAATCTTAACTATCTAACTCATTTTAAACAAAAATTATTCAAAAAGTTATCTCATACTTCAGTAATCATGTACCAACTTATACATAAAATATAAAAAAGGTAACAAGTCAATAAATTAGTCCTGATTAAAAAGAGTTTTATGTTTGCCTGTAATTGAATGAATTTTACTTAAATATCATTTTATTATAAATGGGATAATTACACAATTAGTTATAGTTAATAAAAATTGTGGCAATATTTTTCTATGGTTAAAAACAATACTTTTTTGCCAATTTTTATATAGATAATAATTATTTGGTAAAAACTTATTTCTTTGTGTCAAAATGATATATTTTAATAATCTTATATTTAATATGATAAGTTGTTTACAACTTAATTTCATTTAAATTAATGGCAAAATAACAACTAATTGACCAATATTGTCACAGAAAAATGTTCTTAATTCCAACCAATTTAGTTGTGGCAAATACATAATATAGAAACTAAGACCCATGTTTGTAATGACCAAACTGTTTTATTGGTGTAGGTTATGTTTGTGCAACAATTATTTACTATATAAGCATTTAAGCGTTGAGTTTTTAATCAATGATATAAAGAATAATCAATCGAAATCGAGTACTAAACCAGTTCTTTAAAACACAAATAACGTGGACGATTTAGCTGTGCAATTGAACAAAATTTGTCGAGTAAGACTTCTGCCTTCCTCTATTTTGTGAAAACACTACCTACCTATTTATTTAAAAATGATGTAGGTACAGTGCGTATGCTTTAAATGTATGTATTGTTAACAATTCTTAAATTCACACAATGCTTTTAAAGTCCACCAGATGGCGCGCGCGTTGCGAAAACCCGATACTTCTTTAGCGTATTGATTTTGAAGTCAGTGAAGTTGTTATTTCATAAAAAAACATAGCATGTCATAGTTTATTTACAGTGCATATAGGTGTTATGGATATAATATACATTTAGAAATAGTTAAAGTTCAATAGGGTTTTCGCTATACATATTAACAAATAAACTACACCAAAACAACAAACGTAAAGATAATTTACATAACCCCAAATTTTGACATTGTTATTGTCCAGTCGCAGCGCCAGCTTATTTGAAATTCGGCGCGAAATTTTGGATGCATGCTGGAGTGCGAGCCACTCTACGTGTGCGACACACTCCCACCCTAAAGCTAACTTCAGAGTTGATGATATCATCTCTAGTTAAAATTAAATTGCTACTTAATTGGTAGTTAATTTGTTTTTGTGTTTTACAATTGGTAGTTATTTATCAAAGTGCAGATTATATTTGAGTTTCCGTAACTACGACTTCTTGTATTAGTAAAGTTGTGGTTAACCTACATTTAATATTGTGCTAATTTTAAATATGAATTTATTAGACAAAAATTTGTTTTCAACAGAAAGAAATGTGAAAAAAATATGGAAAACTATAGATGAAATAATTTATATTAACTAGAAAAACAAAGATAGACAGACTAAAGTACAAAAATAAAGAATACACTGAGAGTAAAGAAATAGCTAATATCTATAATAAATTCTACTATTTTTATGTCCCCTTGTACAATGAGTGAATTAGGAAAAGTTATCGCATCTTTGAACTATAATAACTCATTTGATGGTAATATTACTATAGTAATATTACCAGTATACTAAAGATATTAAAGAGATTTATCCTAACATAAAAGAAACCTTACTCAGATGAATAAATAACATTTTTTAATTTTCCTGAAAAATGTAAATCGCATCTTTGAACTATAATAACTCATTTGATGGTAATATTACTATAGTAATATTACCAGTATACTAAAGATATTAAAGAGATTTATCCTAACATAAAAGAAACCTTACTCAGATGAATAAATAACATCTTTTAATTTTCCTGAAAAATGTAAAATATCTACTTCCTATATACAAAAAAGGTAGTAAAGAAGATCCAGGATACTACCTTCCAATATCTATTACTTCTATTTTCTCTAAAATTATTATGTTTAAAAAATAATTTTTATTAGGAAAAAACACATTGATTTTTTTTTAATTTATTTTTTTTTACTTTTGAGAGCGCAAATAAGGTTATATTTGGCGATTTCCGGTAAAATTCTATATCAACCTGACAAAAATATGTCAAAAGTTGTGATTCTGTAACTAATGCTTCAACATGCGTGAAAAAACAGATTGCAATTTAACTAACAATTTGCCGCTAGTTAAATATAACTGTAACTTACGAAAGTGCTAATTAAATGCAATATTGAAAAACCGGGCCTTAGTAAAATATAAGATGTCGAGCTTTTGTCAATTTCATGGAATTACTTAATTATTAGTGACTCCTTTTTGTCTAGGACAATAAGTCATTTTTGACATTTATTTTAAGAGTTGCTCCATGAACCAAAAAATTCAAGTTCTATCCTTTCGTTTTCGAAATATTTAAAATTGAAGTTGCAACAGTGCACTTTGTTTCGCAGAAAAACAATGAGAAAAGTAGAACATTGAAATTCAATTTCTATCCTTTCGTTTTCGAAATATTTAAAATTGAAGTTGCAACAGTGCACTTTGTTTCGCAGAAAAACAATGAGAAAAGTAGAACATTGAAACAAAGTTTCATTTTTAAGTATTTGGAGAGTTATTTGACGGCATTTATACATGATACCATAGATAACAAAGCATGATACGTTGTAGCAACTCTTGAAGAGACCCAGGCTCTCTTGGGTAAACTTTTATTTTTAAATAGTCCCACAAGAAAAAGTCTAGATAAGTCAAATTTGGAGACCTGGCCAAAAATCTAATTCATTGTTAAGGAAAACAGTGTTTCAAACACTTGGTCTAAAAACTATAGTTGCACTGCTATAGCAGTGCATAGTGTGGAGGTGCCTTATCTTGTGGAAAAATTAAATAATCTTCCAAGTAGCAGTCATTATTTCCAGAAATATCGACCAGTTAGGAATGAACTACATCTTCTAGTTATTCTAAACAAAAATACATGCAGAAATTAGGTTGGTGGAAAACCCTTGGATTTGCATCTGACCAGTACCGACAATTATGGCGATTGACATTTAAGTTAAGAAAAAATATACACTTATGTAAAAAACAGACGTTGAGAAGCAAATTCTCATCATTAGGTATTTGTTTAGTCGTAATGTTGCAAAACTTCAGTCGCTAGACAAAATCATCCTCATTTCATTCACTCTCTAAAAATAAATTAGTCAAAAATGACTAATTACTACAGTTATTAGTGGCTGCTTTTTCACTTATAACATCCCCGATATAATAGCCAGTTCTTATGTAAATTGTATATATATCTGGGATACCATGCTATCCCATGGTATACCATGGCATAAGTGAAAAAGCAGCCACTTATAACTGTAGTAATAGTCATTTTTGACTAATTCATTTTTAGAGAGCATGGACTAAATGAATCTGGTAAGGATTAAATTTGTGAAATCTAAAGCCTCATTCAGAACCTCGTAATTAGTGGAATAAATTAGTGGTTTCAATTAACGTAAAAGTTTGTCTTATGAATATACACAGTGTTATTCACAACCAAATAATTAGTGGTAGTACTTTTTAATTAGTGGAAAAAGTTTGCAAACTTCTAACTTTTACACTAATAATAATTGGAAAGCGGCTTTGCGCATGTGCGCGGATATTTTATGTCAAAAGCAAAAAGTTTGAAGATTTGCCAGTGAAGATAAGGTTATATAAATATTATTGTAATGATTGTACAAAATATTATTTTAATATAATTAATATTGTTTAGGTCAGGTTAAGAAAAATGGACAATCTTTTAGCAAATTCCCTTAATTTTAGATGTTAATTTTGCGCATTGTGAATGATCGTTTTGTGTTAATTATAAGTATAATTGAAACCACTAATTTTTTCCACTAATTACGAGGTTATGAATGAGGCTTAAGGATCCGTTGGATGGTCGTTCTATAGAACAAACGGTCGTTCTATAGAACAAACGGTCGTTCTATAGAACAAACGGAACTTTGAACGCAACGGTCAGAAATGAATCAGCTGAAATAGGTGTTTTAGGTCAAGCCATTGCTGACCCTAGCTGAACTTTGAGCACGAGGAAATTAGCTGTGTTTTTTTCCACCCCTATGAGATGCGGTCACCCTAATGGACACCTTTTTTCCCATTGAAGAATATTAAAAACTGAGCATAATGGGTATCAGCAAACTGTTTAAAATCCAAAACCCAACCTACCACGATTTAAAAAGCAGACCAAAATTCAAAAAACAGGTTAGGCTTTTTTTATTATAAAACTGACTACACCATCTACTTTAGTACTATCCCAAATGAATATATCCAAAATTTAATGAAAATCAAAAAATATTTAGTAAAGTTTTTTTTTAAATCACGAAAAGTTAGATTAAACTTAATTTTATTAGCAAGAGTGTGCAATGACTTTAAAATTTAAAATGTTAGACAGTTGTCAAAAATGAAATACAACTTTTTTTTTGAAAATACGTCCACAAATAAAAAAGTTACAGAGGTGTCCACACTGTGTAACATAAATGATAATAATATTATTATCTTAAATTATAAAATTATTTATAATTAAGGTACTTACCCATGGATTGGCAATCAAATGACACTCGAAATAGACGTCGGCGCCTTCCTTGATGTCCTGGGCATCGAGGCCATGTCCCAAGGAGAGCGTGACTTTGGGCGGGTAGAGGACCCGCAGCATCCAGGTGCTCTGCTGCTCGCTGAACGGGATGCGTTGGTTCGATGCTTTGCACGTCAGAATTAGGCCGTGGTCTGCAGAACTAGGGGTGAACACCAGCGTGCTGGTGGTGGTGTTGCCGTCCGCACTCACGCTCACGATGCCGCCTTCCAAAGAGACTCCGTCCTTAGCAAACAAACAAACAAAACAATTTAGACCTGTTTTAATTTACTAATTCGTTTAAGTCTATGGTCTGACAACTACTCGTAGATGATGCCACATCTCTCCATTTTAGCGTGTTCCATATATATTTGTGAAACTCTCAGTAAAAAGGGACCCAGCGCTAGACGGCAGCATAAACGAATAATGTTTAACGCGTTGTTACATGCAAAATATTAAAGGAAAATTATTTTTGTCTTAAAATAATTAAAGAGGTGACTTTTATAAACCTATTACGATCATAATCTTAATTTAACGTAATTTAAAGGAAAAAGGAAAGACCAGGCGAGCGCGCTAGATGGCAGCACGAACGGATAATGTTTAACACGTTCTTACATGCAAAGTATTTAATAAACCTATAACGATCATAATCCAGAAATCGATTTTGGACGTTTGGGTTCCCCGGAGCGCGTCACATTTATTGATAGATATCAAGATCTTAAATTGTCCTGCTAAGGGAAGAAAAAATACGAGAAGCGACAATAATAATAGTGCTAAAACTAAAACGCTAAAATTAGGTTAAAAAAATATTTTGAAATTTTTACAAAATAATATCAATATTTTTTGCGCATTTCGGCAAATCTACACAGTGTCTGGAGACACAGGTATGTCTCGATGTACGTGCAACAACAGTCAATCTGTTCTGCTCCATTTGTTAGCGAAGCCATGTTTATTCTCAACCTGAGCACATGTGTAGTGGTAATCAGTGCAGTCACAGTATAGCAGTCTTGACTGGACTCAATTGCGCCGGCATTATTTTATACAATTTTACTTTTTCAGGCAGGTCTATTTAATTTAATTTACTGCTTAATTAATTTTATTATGTACACGTAATAAAATTAATTAAGCAGTATACTTAGGGGTGGTGATCGCCCCTGTCGCTCCCCCTAAAAACAGCCCCTGTGGCACACAACGAGCGGTTATGCCAGCATAGGCAAAATAGAACATTGTGGGAACACAATATAATCCTTGTTTTAGTGATGTAGGTCATTTATACCGCACTAATTGCTATGAAAGTGCAGCCTAAGCCTGCCGACGACAATGCCCACCCGACCCGCCTTTTTGGCAGCGGTATTTGCACGTTATCTGCTCATTTGCAACTTTATTAAGTGGCTTTATCAATTACTATAACGATTATTCATGACGACTCAAAGAAATTAAGCAAAAATTTCACAGGTCTTCAAATTAATAGTTTAAAAAAAGTGTTAATATTCGTTATAAATGTCTTGAAAGTAATCTAAAATTATATTCATATGGTATACACCACGTCACATTTACTAGATTCAGACGAGAAGGTGCTAGTAATTAATTTATCAATACCTATTTGACAGTTCAGTCTATTAAATAATAAATGATCTATATCTCTTAAACTTTGCATTTAATTTCATTAACGCATGAAACCTTTTTTGTAGGAAACACAATTTTTTATAAAAGCAATATTAAGGGTTTAAACTTTTTTTACTTTATATATACATTAATATTGTGCTGTGGAAGTAAAATAAATGTGAATAAAATAATTTTGAGGTGATCCGTTAAAACTAAGTTTATATACAAGCTTAGTTTTAACGGATCACGTCAAAACTATTTTAATATTAAGGTGCGTATAAGTATAGCGAGACGCGCCTGAGTCGAGCCCAAACCGCGCCAGAGTCGCGCTTTTTCACCAAAGAGCCTTCCGCGAGCCTCCTGCGAATTTTTCGCATGTCAAGTAAGCGCGCGACGAGTCTCCCACTAATTTGGTTTAGTTACTTTAGTACATGGTTTCACCATGCATGATGGTGAGCGAAGAAGTAGGCCTGTCAGATTTTCCGACGGCTGACGCAACTTCATTCCATGCGTCAACCTTTTTTTCTTTTTTAAAATAATCCTTATCTTTAGGATCCAACAAATTTGGTAATAGTTTATAGTTCTCCTCCAAATTAAGTAAAGTTCTTCGGACCACTCCATATTTAGCAATAATTTAGAAACAACTATCGTGCGGTCAGTCTCGTTGCAAACTAAATTTCGAACGAGCCTACCACAACGGTTGTGGCACAACCCCGTCCCACTACACGCGCGCAATCCCTTTGATGACACGTCAAAATACCGACAGAAAATGGATCGACACGAGCCTCCTTTGAGCGGCGCGTGGTAGACTCGCGAGCCCCGTATAAATATGCCGAACTAGGCTCGTGGATCGCGCGGCTCAGGCACGACTCGCGCGCGTCTCGCTATACTTATGTAAAGGGTGTATCAATAAGAGCGCAAGATTTGAATTTTGCCTCAGTTTGGCCACCATGATGTCACATGATTAGTTAGTAAATATGGAGCATTACACGATAGAACAATCCGTCCTGATTGTTAAACACTATTATCAAAATGATGAAAGTTTGATTGCCACGATTCGTAAAGGGCGTCCAATATTTGTTCGAAATAATGTTTCTAATTAATCTACTGTGAAAAGAATAATCAAAAAATTCGAAAGCACTGCTTCGGTTAGTGATGTAAACACACACGACACGAGCTCGTAGAGGTCGTTCAGAACAAAATATCTCAGCAGTTCGCGAGAGTGTGGCCGAGAGTCCAGAGACGTCGATTCGCCATCGTGCACAAGAATTGGACATTACAAAAGCCACTCTTCAGCGAATTCTTACTATAGATTTACATCTTCATGCCTACAAAGTCCAATTGACTCAACAACTCCAGCCAAAAGACCATGAACAGCGAAGAGAGTTCACCAATTGGATCCTTAAGCAGCAAGAAGTGAATGCCGATTTTGCGGACAAAATCATTTTCAGTGATGAGGCCCATTTTCACCACTATTTAACACCCTTGGACTTTTGGCTGTGGGGTTATTTGAAGTCACAAGTTTATGCCAACAAGCCCGCCACCATCGAAGACTTAAAAGCAAAAATTAGACGCGCTATCAACGAAATACCGCCACATGTATTCAATAATGTTATTGCAAATTTTGCCAAAAGAATACGCATGTGCCAGCTAAGCCGTGGTGGCCATTTACCAGATGTGTTATTTTATACATAATTTCCAAATGTGTACTTTATAAATCAATAAATATTTCAATGCTTTAATACTTAAAACCATGTTTTATTAAACTTTGAAATCTTGCGCTCTTATTGATACACCCTTTATACATTAGGGTGTGCCAAAAAACCTCGATATTTTTTTTTTCTTGCTCTCAACCCAAAATATCGTAGAATATGTCTGAACAAATATTCTGTTAAAAGCGGAGCTCATAATTTCAATTTTAAGAGGTCCTCCATCGAATCTAAAGTTTTGCCACTTAAATAAGAAAACTGACTTTTTTATCTTATTTATTCTTGCAACCTAGGAAGAATTTTTTTTTATAAAATCCATGACTAATTCTTACAAAGCATTAAATTTGGACAAAAAAATCTTATTAAGCTGAATTTCTATTTTCAATATTTGATTTTTTACAGAGCTTTAAATTTAAAGTTAATAATACAAAAATGATGACTTTATACGCCTGTAACTTTAAGAATATTGACGATACAAAAAATTCGCCTAAAACTTTTTTGTGGTCCATCAGACAAGCTAAAAAATTGCAATTTGACTTTTTCGTCTAACTTAAATAGTTTAGCTGAAAAAGGCAAAAAACCTAAAATTTTAAATTTAAAGCTCTGTAAAAAATCAAATAATGAAAATAGAAATTCGGCTTCATAAGATTTTTTTTCCAAATTTAATGCTTTGTAAGATTTGGACATGGTTTTTATGAAAAAAAAAATTCTTCCTAGGTTGCAAGAATAAATAAGGTGTAAAAGTCAGTTTTCTGTGTTATTTAAGCGGCAAAACTTCAGATTCAATGGAGGACCTCTTAAAATTGAAATTATGAGCTCCGCTTTTAACAGAATATTTGTTCGGACATATTCTACGATATTTTGGGTGGAGAGCAAGAAAAAAAAAATATCGAGGTTTTTTGGCACACCCTATTATACATATTTGGAATTAGTGGGTCAAAATCTATACGTTTTATATAAAAGTATTCATTTTTAATCGCTGCGTTATTAGTCTAAAAAGCTAATTCATAAATAATTCAAATTTTAAAATTAATTTTAACACCCTGTCTCGTACCTCGAATATAATTTATTCAAAATCTTCTTAAAAATAATTTATTTCTTAATACCTCAAGCACTCTTCATTACAGTTTTTTCTCGATTTCACTTAAAGAATTTATGAACTAATCAAGAAGGACCATTTTTATCTAATAATAAGAAAATTTCATTAAAACTCAGGATCTCAGGTTAATACTTTAATCAACTTTTAAGGAGTTTTCTTGTCGGGTTGTTGTTATGATATCTGAGCTTAATAAAAAGAAAAACATTTTTTGTTTTTGTAATTTAATATAAACAGTTATTAAAAAATAAAAAATGTCTAAAATTAATAGATTTTACCTTTATGGTTTAAACCATAATTTTTATTTAAAATTTATATCTACACTGAAAGAAATTTGTTGCTAAAAGTAAATACAAATTTATACTAAAAATTTTATACTAGTGCTTTACACATTTATACTACTGTTTATTATGAATGTATGGTAAATTTTGTAATACATTTATTGTAAAGAAGATATGTTAGATCTAAATAAAAATAAACTTACCCTTACTATAAAATGTAAACTATAAGTGAATTACAGCAAAAAAATATTGCTAGAAACACCATTTATATTGCTAGGGCAGCAATAGGCTGCTAACCAAACGAATATATTTGTTTTAGCAATGTATGTGGTAGTCTATATATGAAACATAAAATATATTTGCCCTAATTATTTTTTTATTTAACTTTAGTATATATTTCTTTCAGTGTAACATCACTTTTGAAAGTAGGTACATAAAAGGAAAATAAAATCTTTAATAATGTTTTCCTTCCTAAGCTTTCATACATTTTACTACTCACTTAAAGTTTACAACAAGTATGAATATTATTTTCGTAATTAATGAAATTTAAACGAAATTACAAAATAAATAGTTTTTTCTTATTCTTAATGGAAAAATACTTTATTGCAAAAAATCGTAAAAAAGTACTAGTTTTAATGTAAAAATGAAGATTTTTTTGTCATTTATACAAGTGTAAACAATTTTGATAATATTTTCCTTCGATCAAAAGGTACTTTCTGTAAATTTAAGTGTACTAAGTGTAAAACGCCTTAACATTATAAGTACTATATACTTATAAAATCGGAGAAGTTGTTTTTATTGATGTTAATTATGGGTTACCTACTTTTGGAACTGTTTTCATATATGTACTATTATCAACAGTTGATGGAGATGCCATGTTTCTTTATGAAAAAGCTAAAACCAAGTGTTTTAATGAACACTTACAAGCTTTTGAAATTGACGTTTCAAACAAAACATTATTTTGTATTTGGCAATATGATCTATGATCCATGCTCCATGCAGTATCAATTAAGACATTATATTTATAATAAAAGTCAAATTATTATTAAACTCCATACAGAAATAAAGCTAAAATATCATCATGTTAGTAGAACCTTACCTAAATATCATGTGACAGAATTTTAAGAAATAATTTAATTAAATGCTTGAAAAAAATATAGTACATAAGACGGCGGGAAAAACTTATCTACTGCCTCGGCAGTGAAATGTATGCTCTGCGATAATATGTGCTTTCTCCTCTAGTCTATAATGTGTTAGGTATATTGTTTTATAGTATTTATGAATTTAGTTACATACACCTAATTATGTTTATTTATGTTTTTATGTTTTATTTATGTCTTTTTGTACTTTTTATATAAAATTATATATGTTATATTATATTTAAACTTGTTGTATCCTAACAGCAAGTATAATAATTCTTATGAGAAATGCATAATTTCCACTGGAAGAAATATTTTATTAATAAGTAGTATATTATGTAAGTAAGTTTTATCAAAGCCATTTTAGTTTCGAGATGTATTATGCACGAGTAAAGGTTAAGAGCAATTGTTTAATAAAAACGAGTGTCCAGAAGTTTATAAAACGAGTTAAATACTATACTTTATTTACGACGAACACACATAGAAATTTAAAGCCAATTTTAATTGTTAAATATTTGACATTTGAAAAACTTCACTTTTTCGCAATTAATAATGAAGCTAACTTCAGCCCGTGACTAAAACGTCATAAAGTCACAGTTTGTTAATGTGGAAGTAGATAAAGTAAATAAGTAAATTGTTAATAACGAGAATAAACAGAGTGTATAAGAACTATTAGCCACTACATTACATTTATAAGAATTTTCAACTACAAATAGCAAAAGTTATACTGGGTAAAAATCCTTTAATACTCGATATAAAGTGGCATTTAAGACATATATAACAACATAATTTTGTAGTAGCACCATTTCTAAAGTGGCCATATTTACAAGAAACCAATGACGGACATGTAGCTATATTGTAGGGTAGGTGGTCCGGAGGCAGTGCCTAAAGTATATTTCTTTATTAGTATTAGGATAGTCAACTGTCTCATAGACAATATGATCTAGGTTTTGTTAAAACATCTTATAACAGTTATTAGACATACTATAATATTTTTTTATCAACTTATTTTAGGTTTTGTTAAAACATCTTATAACAGTTATTAGACATACTATAATATTTTTTTATCAACTTATTTTTTAATGAAATTATTTTGTATGGTGACCTTGTTTCCTTTTTTGAGGGGAAATTTTCCTTTTTTGAGGGGAAATTTGTCGATTTGTCGATTTTGATATATCATACATGGACATATTAATATCTATGGTATCATAAATTTTAAATCCCCCACTTATATGAACTTCGTATACGAATTGGAATACGCATAAGGTAGATAATACGCCAAATCGACAAATCTCCCCTCAAAAAAGAAAATAAGGTAATCCCTACAAAATAATTTCATAAAAAAATAAGTTGATAAAAAAATAATTTCATAAAAAAATAATTTTATAAAAAAATAATTTGATAAAAAAATAAGTTAATAAAAAAATAATTTGACAAAAAAATAATTTCATAAAAAAATAATTTTATAAAAAATAATTTCATAAAAAAATAATTTCATAAAAAAATAAGTTGATAAAACAATAATTTTATAAAAAAATAATTATATAAAAAAATAATTACCTATATAAAAAAATAATTTTATAAAAAAATAAGTTGATAAAAAAATAATTTGCATATAATTATTTATAAAGCAAAATAAGTTTATTTTGCACTTTCAATTTTGACAAAAACGGCGCCTCATACATATGACTTTGTTTATTTTGTATGTTATTTTGAACTGTGTAAGTCGACAGGGTTTTTATGGTCCCTTTTCCCTGTACTCTGACTCAACGGGCCATCCCTTTGTCTTTGCTTTAATTAAATCAGGGGTTTCAAATCAAATACTTACTGCTTTATTAAACATGGCCAATTTCAAAATAACGTTATTATAATAACGTTATTTTGAAATTGGCAATGCATGTAAAAACACAACGTAGAGTCCTAATTTTTTTTTAAAGTAAATTAACTAGGTGATCACGAATATGCCAAAACATGTATGCTTAAAGAAGGTAAACATATATAAGCATATATAGAAGGTAAACAATATTTAAATAAATACCCGAGTCTTCAGCATTGCACGGTGAAAATAGAAAGTATCAGCGGATAGCACGTCTTATTATAAATACGCTCTACACAGCTTAGTCTGCTAAAATGCTTTTAATTTATTATTGTGTGTGGCTTTTAGCTAAAAAGACCAAAAAAGACCAAAACAAAGCGCCTTTCTTTATTGTTGCTTAGTTTTTCACAGACATTTTTTATTATTTTTTATTTTCCACACGATTTTAAAATTATTAAAAACTGTATTTCGAATAAAAGTAAAAATTACAAAAATGTTTTTCAAATTATTTCACAATGTTAAACATGAGAATGTAAGAAGAAAATATGTCTATAATGACATCCTTTGCTAACGTTTCACGTAACATTGAATATTGAATAGGTTAAAAATAGATTTCTTAGAATCTTTTACAAATTTAATAAAAATATGTTTCCTGCTTGGATTTTTAATAATACTGAAAATATAGATAGAAAATCATAGAAAAATGTATGAAACACTTTAATGAAAAGATGGTTAAAATATAAAAACGATATTAAAGCATAATTAAAATAAACATTGAAATTAAAAAAACAAATGTGAAAATAAGAAGGACAACTTTGGTAGTATGTTAAACAAATATTAGAAATATTCCCCAACAACAATACACAAAATTTTCGCCAACGATGTTGGCATCTTCAGAAGCGAAGTGTAACTAAATAGTAATACGGTATTACTAATACTGTGTCCGTCCACGGTTCAGTCAACCTTAACTTATAATTAGTTTAAATATGTAGGATTTACCATTTAGATTTAGTTTTGGTATAAGTATTTCTAATTAGTATATCACGTATCATGTTTTATAAACGAATTTAATTTAGGCACGTTATGATCAAGTGCTTAATTAAATAAGTGTCTAGAACAGTTTATAAACGATTTGCATATTATACTTTTTCTACGAAAAATACTTATTATTATGTAAAAATAATTTAAATTAAATATTTGTATACAGTGACATCTATAAAACAACATAGTAACCAGCCACAACATGTCAATGTATCATGGAAACATGTGGGTGTTTTAAAGGTGGCAGTAGAAAAACTTTTTTTATGGTAATTTGAGCAACCATGGTTTTTAAAAAACATAACTTTATGAATTTGTATATATATATATATATATTAGGGTGTTTCAAAAAAATTAACAATTATTTTTTTTTCAATGGTGTTAAACCATAATTTTTATTTAAAATTTATATCTAACATCACTTTTGAAAGTAGGTACATAAAAGGAAAATAAAATCTTTAATAATGTTTTCCTTCCTAAGCTTTCATACATTTTACTACTCACTTAAAGTTTACAACAAGTATGAATATTATTTGCGTAATTAATGAAATTTAAACGAAATTACAAAATAAATAGTTTTTTCTTATTCTTAATGGAAAAATACTTTATTGCAAAAAATCGTAAAAAAGTACTAGTTTTAATGTAAAAATGAAGATTTTTTTGTCATTTATACAAGTGTAAACAATTTTGATAATATTTTCCTTCGATCAAAAGGTACTTTCTGTAAATTTAATATATATATATATATATTAGGGTGTTTCAAAAAAATTAACAATTATTTTTTTTTCAATGGTGTTAAAAAATTAATAGTACATTAAAAAACAAAAATTTTGGCGCATATTTGAGCCCTTAATATTAATATTAAGGTTTGCCTCAATTCATTTGTTGTTTTTTCATTTTGAATTCTTATAACTTTGGAATGGATTGTTTTCTCAACACCCAATCGAGAGGAGTTATAGACAATTTCACGCTCTACAAAAAACATCTGAAGGTCAAAGTTCTTCAGATCAAACGTTTCAAAGATATCAGCGATCAAAAATAACACAAATAAAAAATTTCAAATATTTTCAAATAAAATACAAAAAAATATCATATTCCATATTTATATTATTTTTTATGTAAAATCCCTTTAATTCTTCTAACCTGAGACTGTAAACTTTTTTTTTATTTAAATAGACCCATATATCGCCGTTAAAAATACGTATAAGGGTTAACATTTGTATACCTACCTAAATTTATACGAATTTTAATGTTTACAAAAAAAAACAGGTTTGTATAATATTGCAAAACAAGAGCATGTCTTCCAATGTAATGTTATTGTTATAACTGAGTCAATATTATGAAACATTTAAATATAGTTTTCTTTAAATTAATTGGATTTCCCTATTTTTATCGCTAAAAATGAAGTTAAACTTTTTCTATTCGCCTATTAAATTAACATTTTAGCAAAAGCAATCCCGAACAAAATAAATTCAGGTGGTTAAAAACGCCGTTAACATTTTAAAAGTTCATAAATATTGCACGAATGTAAGCTTTCGGAATTGCGCATTTTAAAACATTTCTAACGTGGTTATCCACCGTTTTGCTGCTGTTGCCAATTTAATGTTGCGTATAACCAAAAAACGGCAGGAATTAAAAATTAAATGATATTGTTTTGCGAAACCAAGCTTCAAATACATTCGCGGGCTTTGGTTTTTTAATCACAAAATTTAATTTTTAAACAGATTTTAAGCAGTGATTGCTTTGTTTTTTTGCTTTAACCCAAATGTTACTAGCGTCCTTTTAAAAGGAGTCTATACAGTTCTCTATAATGGCTGGTATAGCTTAGGTCATTGAAATGGGGCTATTAGTCTACTTGTTGAAATTTCTTCCTGATACTTATAG